CGTTTTTGATGTAATCTCGTATGAATGCACTCTGGCAAAAAAATTAGAAAATGCAACCGTGAGAACTTGATGCGAAAAACTACTCAACTGCGACCCGAGCGATAGGTGCAATTATCTTGATCGGTAATTTCAAAGGTGCAACAGTGGCAGTTTCATTTCGCGAAGTTCTTTCCGAGTACTTGCAAATATTCTTCAAAATTGTGATTTCATATCTAGGAAGGACCATAGAGTGGCTTGTATGCCAAAAAATATCAACTTCTGATTTGATTTTGCTCTCTCATTGAAAGAAATTTCCATTGAATCTACACTAGACTCATTTCTTCGCATGCTCACTTGTCGCTCAAGCGTTGGTTTGAAAATGATTTTCAGTGTTAAAAAATATGAAGTTGGTCTTCTTGCTTTGATCTACTTTGATCTTATGGAATCCCTTCCTCCTCAACTGCTTTTCTAAATGTAAATAAATAAATGAAATGATTAATTGCTAATCTTTTTCTTTATTCGGCTCCTTGTTTCATCCCATTCTTTGTAGAGTTGATTTTGTCGGAAAGTCTATAATACGTACCCTAACAAATTGCGAACTCTATATCGATTAAAACAGAACTAATTTTTGGGCAAATAGACACAAAAAATTCAAACACGGATAAATCACGATCGTACTGCGCTTATAACGAGTATTAGTGCAAAGCACTATGAATGGACAGCAATTCCGAAAGCAATCAACAAGCATATGCTAGTAGTAAATGTATTGATACTCGCTGTGGGGGGAGGGTGGGGGTGAATTTGAAGTGTTTGGAGTCGTAAAGTTGTAGCGTTATTATGCGTGAATCAAAACTGGTTTGTCCAAAAAATAGGCTAATAAGCCATAAATAAATTGCAATAATAGATAGCGAAATTCCCTCGTTCTGACAGCTCAGCTTCTAAAAGTGCACAAATTGCTCAAAACTATTCTCTCCCACTGATTCATCTCTTAGTGGGCAGTTTTTCATTGTCTTTACGGTTCTCGGCGTAAGAATTGTGTATACGAGGGAAAGGTCAGAAGCGCGCAAAGTCACTTCGCTTGGATCGTGTGAAAACAACCTCCCCTCCCCCCCCCCCTCTCGGGCCCCCTCATCTTTCCCTTGAAGACTCCCGTAATTCTTCTTGTCCTTATTGCCTTTATCTCGTCAAGAAACATATTCTAGTGCTAATATTACATGAAAAAGTAGAAGCTATCATTCCGTCAGTAATTTTTTCCTCCCTTAGAAGTGCATCCACACGCTCATATCGCCACTTATAAGCGAGAAGAGTTTTTTGGTGGCAAAATTGCAGCCGAGTGTGCAACACATTCGTTGCCCTTTCTACATATGCTAGGACAACTCATTAAACTCACTGCTATAAGTTGATTGGCTCACGAGAAATGTTCGCCTACGACTTTCGCGGGCCAAGTGGTAAAACTAAGTTGGATAGTTTCTTTCCCGCAATAATTTTCTAATATGTACTCATCTGTCAACATAAAATATATTCTTGAGATCACTTGTGAGTTTAATATTTTCGACTCAATATGATCCAAATTTACTTCCATTGCAGAACAGGCTAGAAAATCTAAGAAACCCGTCCTGAGAGTTTTCTAGTAAATGAAATTTCAAAACAGAGTGTAGTATGTGAACTGTGAACTTCACAACTCTCGAATTTTTCGAATTTAGAGCCTTTCCATTAACGGGGCACTGTACATCCCTCAGAAGAAATCCAGCCTGTGAATGTGCCATCTCTGCTGAGCCCTGCTCCCGAATCTATTTATCTATGACTACAATTACAATTCAAAATCTTCTGGTCAGCCACTCGAGAACATCTGCTTTTCCTTGCAATTAAATGCTCTAAGGGGCAGTGAGACTCCGTTGTTGTTCGTCTCGTTTGTTATTCTCATCGAATAATGGTGCGAAACCGAGTAAACATAAAAGTGTGCTCCTATTTCGCAAATTTTCATCGCATTACTATATCTGCTGTACGTTTATAGTCTTCTGCAATCTTTTGTATGTCCAAGTCCGATTTAACACTTTGTTCGCACATCACCGGCTCTACGCCAAACCTTTTAAGCTTTTTCAAGCACTCATTGCTTTTCTCAAGTGTGTGAAGATGTCCGTTCATCTTTCTTTCGGAACCCTTTACCCCCCGCGCTGACAGGAGCGTCGCGGCCCCGGGGGATTAGTGAACATGGCCTCGTCGACATCTTAATGGGGTGCTGAGATATTCAGAATACACGAGTGATCCTGCGAGATGTGCCGACTCAGAACGCTTAATGGCCTGAAAGGCGGATAATGGGTGCTGACTTGCTAAGTAGTTCTCTCGCTAGGCGCTTGCAAAGCATCTACCTTCACACTAAGTGCTTCCGAATATTTATTTACTAGTATTAGCATAAACTGCAGGCTCCACTGCATAAGTCGATTAGAAGAGGAACCAATACAAACGTCGCCTAGGCTCCACTCCTGTACTCTAATTTACCTTAGGATGAATTGTCACATAGACTATAATCAGGATAGTAGCGCCGCTAATCCCAGAACTTTTTCTTTCGGTGTGAAAAGGAAAGAGACGAAAAATTTCTCCTATCAAAGAGGAGCGAAAAAATGATCTCTTAGTTGATTTTAGATTTCCTTTATGATATCCCGAATTTTTAGTGGATTCATAACCCTGAGACGAAAAAATGAAGGGTGATAAAGCCATACTCTTTTCATAAAGCTGACTCAAACTTCCACAAAATTCAGAATTTGTAAAAACGATTTCAAAAAAAGTCAATCTCAAGTTTTATAACTACTTAGACTATACAATTCCGAAATTCCGCTACATGTTCACACCCCCCCCCCCTCCTGGCCTCTCTCTCACCTCCGTCGCCACAGCCGCATGATGATTGGGTATCAATCCCGTTTTGCTGCTTCCATATGGATTTTTTCATTATTTTGTTTCTACTTTCCCGAATTTTTCCAGAATTAAGAAAAGTTCCGACACCAAACACGTTTTTCATCTCTTTTGCTGAATTCTATACCTACTTCTACTTCTGAAATACCATTCTAAGACTTGGCTATAAACTAGCGCTGCTAATGTGCTACACATCTGCACAAAAGAACATTTTAATTCAAAGATACTTATCTTGCTCCAAACTTGCAAGGCAACCTCGTAATCTAGCCTCTTCATCTCCATTACAGATCATTAAAGGCGTGAGGCCATGTTTTTATAGTACAAAATGACTTTGAGTTCCAACATGCTGATTGGCAGAGATTACTTTTGAGAGTCCTTTTTAGTCACTTTACATATGCAAGCCTAACATCATCGGCAGATATGTACAATTTTCTAACAGAATGTTTTCTGCTAATATTGAGCTTTTCACAAACGAAATAGTGGTTCATCATGGCTGGTTAAAAACTCAGTCAGTGCCTATACAGTTATAAAAAAATTTCACTTACTAGTACTGAAAGATAAGAAATTTTTGACAATAATTGTTTTACTCAAGTTGCTTTGTATCGCATCCTTTTTCAGCTAGAGAAATAACTTGATACAACAGAGTAGGCAAGATATAATGCAAAAAGCAAAAACTGTATATAAAAAGTACGCAGAAGTTCCTTGCTTCCAAACAAAAGGACCTTTGTTGTCACCAAAGACTTTTCCTAAACTTTTTCTAGACCTATTTGTACGACTTGCCTGTTGTCTGGTATGCATACCCAATTCTCTCGTAAATGCGTGCGTAATGTGGTGTTGACATCTTTTTCCATTCTGCTCATACATATATGAAGAGGAAATGCAAGAAAGAAAAACAACTGCTGTAATGCAAAGCAATTACGATGCATTCTTTTGGAGAAAGTTGGTAAAAGTATAGCGAGAAGCGTGTCTCCATTTCACCACACTTCCCGCTTAGCAACAGTCTGTACTAGTGTATGGCATCGGTAAGTCTTCTGTGTTACCCCCCCTTAGATCTGCTAATTTGCTGGGTTGCCGTGAGCTGCTCGTTGGAATTCATCACTCCATTTGATGGGTCTAATTGAATTCACGCAGCCAGCTCCGTGCGCATAGCTATATGATATGCGCCCACTCGAAACCTCAGCGACTCCCCTTGTCCTTCCCGTCTTCCTCAGCCAGGAAGAGAGGCGCGAAATAGCGATATCTGGCCTGGCTCATGTTTCAACTCCCTTTTTCGTACCATCAGTGCTAGATTTTGTTGCTCCGTACATGCTTTCGCGCGGATTATGGATGGCCCGATAAAGTGCTGCTTGCATTTGTGATCGCGCGCCAATCCCCGCCCCGGGTGTCCGCAGAGCGTTAAGGCGCAGGCGGCTGCGCAGCCTGCGGCAACCGCCGCTCTGTCACCGCCAGAACTCGCTGCTTAATCTTCTGGCAAATCTTCTTTCTCTTGTTGCATTTCGCTCTTCCTATCAGGAAGTCGAGGTGATTTGGGGTTTAGCCTACGTACATGACTGGGAAATGGGGGGTAGGGGGAGGTGGCGAAGAGGGTTCCGATAGCACGTCTGGTTGGGAAAGGCTCAATAACTTTTTTTTTTGAAAATATCTCGTCTTTCGACATCCAAACACTCATGAACGTTTTTGATCATTCTGGGGCAAAAACAACGTTTTTTATGAACTGGCTTCAGGTTGATTGAAATTGACTCTGTCATTTCCGTAACAATTCTTCGAATTCTACCGTTAGTCTTCTCTCTTTTAGAACAAAAAAATTATCAGACTCAACTTTTCACGAGCGCAGCCCCTTATGAAATGCATAGAATCTCATCCTTCTCCATTTTTATCCCATCTCTTCTTGTAAAACACATTCTATTCACTTTGAGAAATAATCTTTTGTCTTGAGTCCTTCCAATACGATAAATTTACCCCATAGAGATCTTTCCTGAACTGGATTTTGCAATGCATGTTTTCCATTTCATCCATTTACGATCACTTATCATTCTTTTCATTATTTTTACTATTTCAGGTGATGTGTCAACAGTGAAGCAGTGACTCTAGGTATTCTGCGGAAATACGCCATGCTTCTAATTTTTATATCTGCGATATTGTCCGGCCTCGCCTCGTCACTTCTGCTAAGTGAGTCGAACTTAAGGACCATTCTATTCAAATGGAGGCAGCCAATATGAACGATAGCTTGTGTCAGTAGTCCGCGTTGCGTAGGTCAAATCTTTCTCAGATCCTTATCATTCACGCTATAGTGACATTTGAAACTTTGGAAAAAACGCTGGGAGCTCAGTGAGCCCCAAATCTTACTTTGACATCATTTTCAATCCGGCGGTGAACCTATTACTCCAAAAAGCACAAACTTTTGCGCATCATATTGACAACCGCAGGAGTACCTAGGCTGATTTACAGCTATCGTTCATCTTGGCATGCACCCAATTCAAATTGCTCATAATTAGGTCTGCAGAGAGATCACACGAAAAGTATAACTAACCAGCAGCTCAAAATCTTGCGAAAAAGGCAAATAGCTTATTCATTGTTCTTACTTTAATATTCCGATGACCTTTGAGATTGTTTGATCCATCAAATCTGTTATGAAAGGGAAATGCCGGGTGCGATGGTGCACATGGCGACAGAGAGTCAACATCTGTAGCATATTACGCGCATAACCCTACATAAGTTATCACCTCAACCTTTGAACCTACTATAAACCTCTTCTCCAGTCGTTTGAGTAGAATTCTCCTCAGGGCTTAGCACAGGTGGCTTAAAAGCAAGCTTGATATGTTTTTGAGACAAAAAGCAGAGGATGTCGTTTATGTGGTCGAAAAAACACAACTTAGGTTAAGTGTTTTAGTTCACGTTTCGTTTTTTGAGGGCTTACGTTTAGGGTATAAGGTAAAGAGGACTTCGTAAAATTTTGCGAAAGTCAAGGGAGATTACTTTTTTAGCATTTTCGAAAAGCCACCTTGTGCCGAGCGCTGTTCTCCATCTTCTCCATCTCTTCAAATCCCTTATTAACTCTTTCCTACGAACAAAATTTTGGAAAGGCTAAGTGATTGACTCTGCTCATTATGGAAGTAGCAGTTTTTTAACCGTATTCACTTAATGTTAGTGAGTTCTCATATAGTCATAGGTGAACCCGAAGTTTGCTAACAAAGACCGTTTCCGGACCTAATTTACGACATAAATACTACTGCGGCAATTATTGCATTGTAATGCAGTTTACTTCGTAAAGTTGTTAAGAAACTCGTTGCCATGAGAAATGACTTTGAAAGCATTCTGCTTTTCTTGTACGACGTCACATCACTTCACTTTTCTCCATAGGTTTCGGGAAAGATTTTAGACACTTCCCCTAAAAGCTTGAAGAATTAATGTAGAAGTTTCGCGCTATTTCAGTGTATCCCTACAGTAATCGATTGAGTTCCACAATTTTACGATTACTGAGCATAAAATATGCAAAACTGTACTGGTTCCGCGGGTATTTTTGTTACTAAACAGCTCATCGGTATACCTAGAAACTTCTTTCAAAAATGTTATTGTTTTGAAACTTTGGGATTATTCTCTACACGTTGCACATGAAAAAAACTTTCAAAATTTTTGAATTTTGAAATATTTTTCAATCTCTGTTTTTGTAACACTGGCGGCATCAGGCTTCTGAGGAGATGTCGTGATAATTTCCAAAACTGTACAAGAAAGAAAGCACAAAGAGAGGCGAAGAAAAAATAATAAAATAGGAAGATTTAAGTACATACCAAAACTGTCGTGGACTTACTGCTTGTGTGCATTTGCTGAAGAAAACGTGCCGATGGGTAGACCTATCATCCCTTAGCTGAGGGAATTTACATTCCCGTGACTATTTTAGAAATTAAAATCGAAAACAATGTACAGAAATTACCTGCTATTTTGATGTTTTTGTAATTCATTTAACTAATTTTTTATTTTTACAAAATTCTACTCTCATACCAAGCCTCTTTTCGTTCCCAGTAACCCCAAGAAGTGAGAGTTTTACAATGCGCAAGGTGTTTCCCAACAGGAACTCAACAACAGTTGTGCTTTTGCTTTTATCCACCGACCAGTCAGTAGGGAAGTGGCGGCGGAACCTATCATAAAGGTGACAGCTTTCCCCTACCCATCCGGCCTAGAGATGATAGATCTACTGAATGAGGTTGTCGCTGGTTAGAAGAACCCACCTGTAGCTATAGGTTTCGGGACCAGTTTTAACGGAGTCAAAGAACTGATAGAAGAAACAGCTTTTTGTTTGGGTACCATATAGGGTGATGTGTGTACAGTACCAGTTTCTTTCCACATGAATACTCCATCTGAACTATACAGGTACCGGGTTCTACAAGAATTGAACTGCCCTGTTTCTTTTTCTGTTTTGGGGTGCACATTTCTTTTCGAGCGTAGTAAGCATCGTTATACGAAAATTATAGCATAATTGTAGCAATTCATGGTAATCTACGAACAAAATCCACTGGTAAAAATTACAATTTCTCTCGAAAAATACCTATCGTGCTTTTTACTCTAAAATGCCAACTCAACAATTTACAATCTCATTGCTAGCTGCTGCAGGTTTCCTCAGCTGAGGGGCCGCATCTTTTTCGAGGACAAGTCGGTATAGTCATCTATCTTGCTAAAAGCCATAAATGTCTAAAGAATTGTGGCGATAGTGATTATCATAATAAAAGAAGTAGTTCATTAATTGCCCTATTACTGCTATCATGGCCTCCCCTAATTATACCCTAGATGTGATCAATACTGTGTCCATTGTCTAAATGTATCAGTCTAATAAATAAGGGAAAAAGTGATCAATTGTGTTCCTATAAAATAATATTGGGGTGTACTACAGCACCCAAGAGATTTGAGTCAATTTTGAAGGTTTATAGAAGCCGTGAAAAAACTTTTTATAGAGATGTTTAGTACCATCTGAAAGACGATTCGAAAAGAAAAAAAAATCTTCTTCTTGGAAAAAAAGGTTTTTGTGGTGATGTGGTACGAAAAACTGGATCACTTTTCCCATCGACTTCCCAGAAAATGGACAATTGCAAACTGAGTTTTCTCTGAGTGACTTGTGGAATTATCGCTTACATAGACCCTAATTTCATGTTCACAAGGCGCGAGGGATTTTTTCTTCCAAAATCGACAGCCCAGACACGCCTAAGGATTTAGCGAATAAAGAGCCCTATACCGTGCTATGTATTGCATAAGAGGATCGTGTGGTTTAGAGATCGGTTTCGGAAACACTGTGAAGCTGCTGAGCTGCTCGTTTGAAAAATCGAAAAAGGTGCGCTTTGTACGCGAAATTTGGGTAATAATCTCATATTGTTTATACATACTCTTTTCAAGATCGAATAGAAAACGATCTGACATTTTCAAGTACATGTTTATTCAAAGTGAATAAATTCTCTTCTTTCTAAGATTGCATCACAGATATTTAAGACTTTTGAATAGTTGCTCAATTTTCCCTTGAATCTTTCAACTCATTATCTTAGTTTCTTCCAAGATTTTTTGTAATTCGCTTGCAGTTTAAAAAGCTGTTGTGTAAAATCATTTTTGGGCTCTAATAACGATTCTATGGTTTTTGTTGAACCCAATGCTTGTTCTAATTCTACTAACCGAATTTTACTTCAACCTTTCGGATTAAAACGCACTCTATGTGCAATTAAATAGATTAGAATATTTCTAATAACTTGACGGACAGTTTTTTTGAATCTGGGCGCTAGACCCTAGGTGGATAATTTTATGTGAATGCAATAGCCGTTGAATTATTCCGCGTCTAAGATCCAGTACACAACTCCTTGCCACACATTAAATCTGCTCGCTGTAGCACCTCATTCATCTGTGTCAGTGGCAGAGAAAACTTTGTGAGGATTTACGGCCACTTAGCCAGGTGTCTGCGTTCGTCACCACAGCCATATAATAGTCGTCAGGAGATGTGACACCGTAAGCAACATCTCACCCGGGTCGGGTGGAAGGGGCAGAGGAATTTGCAGGGAGTCCTTTAGGTACCTAATGGTGTGTGGGCATTGCGCAATTGGCGGCACCTCTGTTCTGGGATCAGCTCTTATGCTGTGTGGGCATTCTTGAGAAGGGTCAGGTGTGGGAGTATGGCAGTTTGAGTGCAGTAGTCCCAGTTCAGCAGCCAGTTTGGGTTTTGTATTTTTACAAGCTTTGAGATCTGCAGAGGAGCAGATTGGTCATACTAGAGTCACTATCATGATCATAGGAACATTGAAATTACGAAAGAAATTTAAGAAGGTTTGCGAGAGATAAAAATCGTCTTGTTGTTGAAATAAGGAAAATTGTCAGTAGTTGAGGTTTAATGGAAGCTTTCGAGATACCGTAACCCGATAGCAATTTTCTGTCAGATATTAAGTTCGATTTTTTCGGCTTAGTTAGGGGGCTCAATTATCCAGTTCTCATGCTGAAAAATACCATGTTCCAAAGAAAAAACCGATTTTGCATCTTTTGGAGCAGTGGCTTCTCGTCTTGGAAAATACCGTTCAAGAGGAATTCACCATTTAGATCTTGGGTGGGACGATTTTTGTTCAATTCAGAGGTTATATTTCTTTGCACAGAACTCTACTTCAAATCGTTGGACAAGTTCTAATGAGTACACAGATGACAGCTCACATGTGTTCTCTTTTTTCTCCAAAAGACCAATCATCGCCCCGAGGCCAATAAACCTAAGAAAACAAGAAAAACTCATTACACATAAAGTTCTTCTCGGCCTCGTCTAACCCGATGTCTGACACCCCGTGGTACTTGGCATCGTATCGCTTTTTTCTCGCAAGTCATATCCACTTGTCGTAGTGCTCATAAAATCAGCTGGCAATTTGGTTTGATGTGGTTGCTCTAGTATCGTCGCGACTGGGGCGCAAAAACTCCACCAAACTGGCGGATTTACTACGAATGGAGGGGGGTCGTAATGGATGAAATCGTAAAATTCGAATTCGGGGAAAACGGGAGTAACAGAATCGCAATGCAATCGCTCCGAAACAATCCGATCAGTGCGTGGATGGGATGAAAGCGACCGCCGGTGGCACCGACACTACGACCTTTGCATGGGGCTGCCGAAAACATGACTTTGTTGGCTGAGCACACATCGAGCGGTGCCCGGAAAGGCTACATGAAAATGAGATCACTGGGAGAGGTATCCATGTGCAATGGGCCGTAATCACACGTTGCAATTGTTGGGGTAGAATTGAGCAAACCTGGGGCGGTCTTGTTGGTCCTGAAATGAACTTACATTAGAGAAATAACAGGAGTTAAATAAGGTTGGTCTTTTGGGCGGGCCAGTGGTCGCACTTTTGAGGGATTTCCGAGCGAATTTGTAAGAGTTTTTAGCATAAAATATTAGTCATTTTTCATCGAAATTTATGAGATTATTTCTGTTCTGTAAATAATTCTAAATGTTTTTATGTCCATGAAAATATAATATTGGATAAGCAATTGCTTGTCAAGTTTTGAGCCATAATAGACTAGGATGTGAAAATTGCGTAAAATCTAGTTATCGGAGGGTGAACCATTAAAACGCGAATGTGACCTCTTATTTTATGATACATCGGTCTAGATCTAGCGCTCCATCACTGCCTGAACTGCTTTATTTGTCGAACTTAGAATTAAGAACAAATTTGAAAAAAAAATTGGTTAGATTATTGATTGTTAGATTATTCACCGGTATTTTTGAAGGGCGCAAAAGTTGTAAAAATCTGCGTATTTTGGATATTAAGTGTGAGCCATTTTTGTAGAGATTTTTATTTAAGATGTCGTTGAACATTTTTTATGTCTACCCTTCAGAAGATTGTAATGAAGCATTGGGTCTGACGAATGGGAAGATTCGAGATGATCAGCTCAGCGCATCATCTTCATTCGATTCCGAAAGCACTGGTCCACAACATGCGAGGTAAGAAACTTTTTTATGAGTGTCATCAGTGGGGTGTGTATGCAGGGTTCGGCACGAGGTGGCTTGTTGAAAATGCAAAAAAAACGAAGTCCCCTTTGACTATTGCGAATGTTTACAAAGTCCTCCTTGACCCTAGAACCATAATTCCTAGAAATACTCCAAAAAATGAAATGTCGAGCAAAAAAAACGTCTCAATATGTCTTTTCGGACACAAAAACGAAACCCCTTTGCTTTTTCTGCTTTTTCTCCCAAAAATGATATCCAGCTTGCTTACAAGCCTGTGCCGCCCCGTGTGCACGTCATTGGGGGGTCTATTTGGGCAAACAGGCTCACAATCGAACACTCCAGGAGCAGTTTTGAGATTCTGAAGGTTTTTCCACGATTTGTAAGGGTGGCGAATGGTCAGCTGAGTGCCGTGAGAAAACTGATTTGAAGTAAAGATGTTAGGTCAAAGAACCCCGAAAATGGTCTTAGCCTAGTCGCTGCTCTTATGGCTCGGTGGTCTTTTGTTCTTCTCTGGACTTCGTGAATTCTCTTCTAGGTTTTCACAAACTGCGCTCCAAAAGCCTATAAAATAAGGATACCTTCAAAACCGAGGATTCTCTCGAACATCCTCACTAATTCCATGTTTGTGGTTGGCAACAATTAGTGGGCCATGGTGCCGTTTGATGAGAGGTGGCAGATCCGCTTCATCGCGCACATTATCTAGTTAAATTGTTTTCGCTTCTGCTTCCACAGGCTAGTTACCACTCATTGCGCGGTGTTGGCATCCATATGTCAAGGGAGATTTCGGAACACTGCAAGCTCATCGAAGGTCTTCTAATGAGCCCACATCAGAAGTAATTTGACAACTGGACCTGATGCAAGACTTACGTTTGTTCGCTGCCTGCATTTTCATCAGTGAAATTCGAGCGCCCGCCAATTTTGCACGCACCACGGAAATGCGACTCATGAAGCTGATGAAACTCAACGAATCGTGAATGCATGTGAATGAGTCGATGAGCCGGGAAAGAAGGGATTGGGATGGGAGTAAGGGGAAGGGGAGGGGAGCAGGGGGCAGGAAAGCAAGAGGGTTCACAAAAACTGGATATCGCTCAAATCTATTATTTCAGGGCTAGGACGCATACCGGAAGTGGAGCCTGGTGTCCTCTGAATCAAGTAAATAGTACTCAAAAAGAATGGATTCAGATTACTTTCGCACGAGATACGGGTAAGAACTTTGTTAGGATAAAGTTTGCTTACTAAAATAATATTCAAACACAGTCGGATTTTTTACACCATCCGATTTCTTGAGAAGAAACGCTTCGTCTTTTTCCTTCAACGTACATTTTCTGAAGGAAAAAATTCGCTTTTTGCTATCATTTTGAAGGTTCTGAATGAACCCAAGTTTTCATCTTTAAGAGTGATTCTTACTTTATTATATCATTTCGAAAAAGCTTAGGGCTATTCCTCAACACATTTTCATTTACTAGTCAGAACTCATGTCTGATTTTTTCCTCAGCCTAAACAGATTTTTACTAACCTACACTATTTTCACACTTTCTTCACATTGGTAGAGGAGAGTTGCAAGATTTTTTATGGGATGCCTTGCAGCCTCCGGGTGAAACTGCAAAATGCTGAGGCACTTTTTGTGAAATGCTAGATTGTGTTCACATCTTGGAGTTTATGTCTAATTCACCACAAAAACCTGGGAATTAAGCCGATTTTTTTACTGTACTTTTAGGGACACTTTTCTGTACCCTGTAATTTTCAAATGACTCCTATCACCTTCAAATCGCTAATCGTGTACTTTTCCAAATGTCTGGATTAAAAACTTTGCTTTCGATAAAAACAAGTTTTTTTTGCAACTGAGAAGAAACTCACTCAGTTTTTGATTTATCATTAAAAAGTTCATTTTCGTTGTCACCCACTCAGAAACTACAAAAATGGTCACTCACCCTTAATTCTTCTTCTTCTTGGCATGTTCGTATATTGTTTATATCGTACACTGCCTTCTTTTGTTTTTTGATTCACAATTCATATTATTTTCGATGATTCTACAAATTGGCGAAAACAAATAATTTCAAATTGACTTGTTGAGAAAATCAATTTTTTTTACCTTTGAGCCTACAAAAATATCCAGTCTTTCTTGGCAGATTATGTTCTTGCCTCTCATGACTGACAAAGAAATGATATTGACTCACTTGCACTATCGTTTGCATGCCTGTCAATAACTAATGAACTTCTGCCAATTATGGCTCAATTGCCGGGAATAATGAATTTTTTTCCATATCCATTTTTGGCTAATTTTCCAAAAGTGCAGCCTGTAACGCTGATGTGCATTTGCAGTTGTGACGGCAGTCGAAGTGCAAGGTCGATACGATGAGGGACGTGGCATGGAATTCGCTCGAGCGTTCAAAATCGAGTACTGGCGGCCGAACTTGCAGGGTTGGGCCTCGTACAAAAGCGAGGAGAACACCGAGGTATGGTCTAGAGCGATTGACAAGTGTCTTGGCTATTCAGCGATTAAGCACTTCCATGAGTGACATCCTGATGGGGCACAGACATCCAGCAGATGTTGCGCTGTCCACGCGCATGCCAGCAAACAAAGAGATAAAGGCACTGGCACAATGGGATTAACTCCTTCAACTCGTCACTTCAGCACCGGGCCCTTCAGCGCGAATTGCTGGGCTCAGCGAGTCCTCTTGCCTTATTGCCCTAGCCAATTTCTAATGAGAGCCATCTCCCGCTCTGTAATCAAGTATTTTCCACTGACTCGCTAATCCCAAAATGAGTCACAGTGAACGAGGGCGGCTTGCCAAAATCCGATTAGTTACGCTGCGAATGGTTGCGCAGCAGATCAGTTACGCAACGGCGAACATGCTGTGTTTTGGGTAGATTTATTGAATGATTGCGTGCTGACGCTTATGCGGGACTACAGTTATAACAGAGATTAGCAGCGCAGCACTCATAATGGATCTCGAAAGTGTAATTGTGTTAGAAAATTTTTATCGGAAAAACGTCTGTGTAAGTCCCACTCTCAAAGATCAAACGATGAGCTGTAGAATAAAGCACAGCTCAATGTTATAGGAGGTCAAATAAGCCATATGCTTATGAAAGTAAATAACAATAGTTTAGAATTCTTTGCCTGTTTTGTTCTCTTTGTATCTTGAAGGTTCCTTTCCAAGGTTTGTACCGTTTACTCGGAGAAGTCTTGGTTATCTGCAAAATTTTGCTACTTCTGGAATCAAGAAAGCTTCTCCTAAGAATCAAAAAACTCCAAGCGTAGGGTATCATTATTGAGGGTTCAACAATACTTTATAATTTTTATGTCCCGCTTCACTAAAGCACCCTTTTCCTTCAAAAGACACAACTATTGTATTAATTTGAAGAGCACAATTTCTGCACTATTTTCCAAACAAAAATCCAGCTTGGCAAGCTAGAATCTGACCTTTTTGTACAATTTTGAGAGGTACTTCATTTAGGACTCAATCAAACTATTATCTCCGAAAATGCAAACAAAACACTGTGTCAACTTCATAAAATGATATCAAGATGTAGCCTGCTGACACTATTTTATGGAGGGTTGCGACCTGTGCGAGTGTTCAATTCGCCAAAGTCCTTCTTTCTTGTGCGGTTTCGCTTGCTATCTGTTTTGTATATGATTTCACAAATCTTGGCTGGAGTTGGTATCACAGACATTAATTACGCTCTTGTAGGCTTTATTAGGGGCATGGGAATTGCATAGATGATGAAGCCATATGTAGAACTATTTGTGTCAATTGATGCTTGGAAAAGGGGAGAGGGAGGCAGAAGAAGGGTCAGAAAAAAAAACATAAAAATGATTTCCTTAGGGGAAGTTTTAGGTGGATTTTGAAATGAGAGCATGAAATTTTGTGTGACAAGTTTTTTCTGAATTTCGCACAGCTCAAATTTTTAGATCATCCCTGGCAACAGCGACACATACACAGCTGAACTGCGGGTTCTCGATGCTCCTATTGTGGTGCGGAGGCTTCGGATAGTTCCACTTTCCAACAGTACACGTACAGTATGCCTGCGGTTGGAAGTATTTGGTTGCATCTACGACGGTACTACACTCATGCTCAGTAGAGCCATAAAAATGAGCTGTAATGCGTTTTTAGATCCTCTTCAATCGTATACGGCTCCAGTTGGCTCTAAAGCCAATGGGATTGACTTTGGCGACTCTTCCTACGATGGCTCCACTATGCATTCCATTAGTGCCGGTGGACTAGGGCGCCTTAGCGACGGAATGGTCGGCGAGGAGACGGAGATTACGCATCCGCACAGATGGGTCGGATGGAGAAGACAAACAAGCGAAGGTAGTAGTAGTTGACTAGGGTCATAGCATTTTCTAAAAAGGTTTACTTTAGGGGGTTATGTCAAGCTACTGTTCACATTTGGGGAGCTGAGGAACTTTTCCTCTATCAATCTACATACATTGTTTTCTCGGAAGCTGAATGCGAAGGTAATATTTGTTTCATAGTGCTAAAAGAGAAAAAAAACTGTCATTTTTCCTGGAAAAAGTGTCTCTCCAAGCAAAGTGCTGAGTGCACAGAAAGAACAATTTTAGGAGTCATTTGAGTGTAATATGTGAGCTTGCAAGCGTGCGACAGCTTAAGCTGGCCATGCGCCGACGCCTCGCTAGCGCTGCTCCAGTGCCGTGCCAGCGCCGTGCCGGAGAACCTGGACGCACTGCTTATTAATCGATTAACCTCGCGGCAGTATCCTCACGGCGCTAGCACGGCACTGAACGGCTATGGACGTATAGGGCGTTTTAAAAATCGTGACGACAGCGCGCGACACGCACGCAACTCCTGAAAATCGCATTTCTTGGTTTTCATCTCTAGTCAAGTGTTTTTTTGCTTAAGTATGATGAGATTTAGGCAATGGAAATGACTGAGCCGATCGTTGTGTTGCCTTATTGTATGAGAGTTTTATGCTCATTTGATCGCAAAGTCCTCCGTAAAATCTGTCATTACGATTTTGTAAATGAACTATAGCCTCATGATCACTCATTGATGAATACCCAGTGAAAGCATATTTTTACTCTGTAATGAAATGATTATTCCTTGCCAGTTTTTTTTTGAGTCCGAAAAAGAAACAAAGAAGAAGTTTGTGGAAATCGGCAACTTGTAATCTAGGTATTTTGATATAACTTGTGCGTCTAGAGGACACTGATATAGATTAAAAATGATTCAGTTGCATATGTGTAATGTTGCGCAATTTTTTGATCCATTCTTGCTAAATGCTTTTTCAGGGATTCTCCAGAATAATTGTGACATTCTCTGCAAATGGAGCAGACTTCTCATCCCGAATACATGAATATATACCAGAAGAACTAGCAGCCACTTCGTGGATTCACGTTCCTATCTTTGGTCGCATCGCGTCGACTGTGCAGGTGAAGCACCAAACTTCTTTAGTGAGCCCGATGCAAGAAAATTGTCTTCCCATTTAGCTGCGTCTGTACTACCCATTAGACTCGTCATGGATATGTCTTTCCGAAGTTCGTTTCGCTAGCAAAGAAGTTCGCTACGATCTATTGCACTTTGACGATGACCATTCCGATAGCGTGACGTACTTTGCTGTCGACGAACCCATTCCGGATGGGAGACTCGGAACTATGGGTAAGGAAGACAGAAGGGAGGGAGGAGTAATTTACCGAAACATACATGAATTATTCCAGTGCTACTTTGCTTGCTCTTCTTGGCGCTCGTCTTTCCAATCACTGTATTCTGCCTCTACCGTAAACGAGACAAAATTCGAACCTCATCACCTCCACATGGCACTCATCTCACTTTCGATGGGACCGTTTTCAAGGTGGGCGCAAACAAAATTCTTCAAGATAAAAGATTTGAAATTTGATTTCTTGCAGTCGGTTTCACCATCTACTTATCAAATGACCAGAGACAACATGGAGAACACTTTGCTGGAAAAGTGCCCAATGATTGTGATCGCTTCAGAATACGCTGAACCTGATTTTGGCTGGTAAGGAAGCTTCTCATGATAGAGTCATAGTAATATCCACTTTACAAGATATCCTAAGGATTAATTTGAACCAGCTTTTTTTCGTAAATAAAGGAGCAAAATCAAAAATATCTTCAAAAACTCAGCTAAGGTGCAAACAATGTTCCAAATTGTGCAATTATCAGGAAGACTTTCGAACCGTTTGAGCAGATTTGCAATAAGCTGTGGGCTCTTTTGTTCCTATCTCTTCCCCCCTCCCTCACTATAGTTTTTTGCCCTAAGAAACAAAGACGTTTTGAGTTTTGAATTCATGTTTTGTGATTCGCTGTCTATTCTCCCATGGAAGAACGCCAACCAACGACAAGCTAAATTTTCTGTCGAAAATTATCCACGCACTGAATTAGAGTCGTAACCAAGCGCAAGTCGAAGTTCAATGATGTTATGTGGAAATGCTTAATTTTACTTTCAGCACCAAAGATAAAGCTGCTCTCGAGCCGCTTCTTTCATCGTTCCAAAATCATGGCTTGGAAATATCACATTATGCCGAGACTGTCATCCCAAATGCAGCTATGAGGTGAAATTTGATTCTGTGCGAATGCTCCATAAAAGGCTTTTTTTAGTAATCCACTGTCTTCGGCCGTAAAGTACTCGGACTACGGTGAGGTATACTGTAGCACGCTGCCCGAGATCAACAGAAATCAGCTAGTCTTCGTTGAAAAAATTGGGCAAGGAGAGTTTGGGGAGGTGAGCAGTTTGATATTATATATACTTTCTTCAAAATAAAAAATATTCAAGGTGCATCGTTGTCTACTGGAATCCCGTCAGGTTGCTGTGAAGCGACTAGCACCTCACAAGAAGAAGAGAATGCTTTTCTGCGTGAGATCAGAGTTTTAGGTAAGTTTCTCCTATATAAATTGTAGAAATAATAAAAATGACCTTTCTTCAAGGGAACCTCAAGCATCCAAATGTTGTGGAGGTAATAGGAGTCTCCACTATAGATAAACCAATGATTTGCATCATGGAATATATGGCCGGTGGAGATCTGAAATCTTATATCAGCAAGATGGAAAACGTCGAGTGAGTTCTGGTGGGTCTTCAACCTTCCCACGTTCTTAACTATCCTTTTCAGTACTTTTTATTGTATCTCTGTGGCTACACAGCTTGCTGCTGGCTTATCCTACCTCGAATCATGTAATTTTGTCCATAGGTTGGCACTACACTTTTTTTCTCTGCCAAATATTTGGTTGAGTATTTACTTTTTAGGGACATTGCCGCTCGTAACTGCCTTGTTGATGATGAAGGAAACGTGAAGATCGCAGACTTTGGTATGGCACGCAGCCTCTATTCGAATGACTACTATCAAGTCGAGGGACAATTTGTCTTGCCAATTCGATGGATGGCCTGGGAAAGTCTTCTCCTGGTTAGTAATGAATAAGTCGAAAAAAAAACTGCGCAACCCACGTTCAATTTTTTCAGTGAATCAGCTTAGTTCCGTACGTATTCCGAATTGCATTTTGAATTTTCCACATGAATGGAATAATTTTCGCTCGAAAATCATATATGGTGCATACGTAGCTGTATTATAATAAAAGTGATGTATTTTTTTATTCTGGCAAATAGATTATGAATCGTAAATGGTAAATTGTTCGTCGTGACCATTATGATTGATGATACGAGTGGGAGTATAATTCGCAATCCCTACACTCAGACAATGGGCATGGGGCTTCCTTTGCCCAGAAATGATATCCCCGGGAACCTAAACCAGCGGAGATAAGAAATAGCTATGTAACAGTGGCGGATCGAAGGGGGGGGGGGGGTAGAAGGAGGGCGCGGTCGCGAAATTCTTTGAAAGTTACTTACGTGAGTTATAAACATGTGTAAGTAATAAGTAATTGTAACAATTTCCTAAGTTTTTTTTTCAAAATTCAATTGTTTTACAAGCTGAAAATTTATTTGCATTTCTTTGCATTTCTGAAAGCAGGAATCCATTATCCCAAATCAGCCTTGTAAAAATTTCTCCTCGGGTATGACTGTCCCCAAGCCCTTGGCATCTCAAAAATTCTTCGGAGTCCATGAACTGGCCAGGCACCTTTACTTAGAAAAATCCTCCCCCCCCCTCCCCTGAGAGGAATCCTGCGACCCCCACGGGTGTGCTGGAAAAATCTGATAGATGAAGAAGGAAAAGCATTTCTAAACTATCTTACTTTTATCTCATTGACTTCGGTGAATTAAGTGCTAAACAAAGTAAATTTATTTGTCTTTTTTTTAAATTTCTGAAATCAGGAACCCATTGTCCCAACATAACTCTTTTCCCAGAAAATTTTTTGTGATAATCGAATCTTTCAACATTCAGGGCAAATTTTCTACTCACAGCGATGTTTGGTCATTTGGAGTGACACTTTGGGAGATTTTCGCGAGATGTCGTGAAAAACCATACAGTTCTCTTGCTGACGACCAAGTATTGGATAATATTCATTACATGAGCAGCCATGCTACACTTAAGGTTCGGACATAACTAGGAATTTTTTGCCCTTGCTAAATAATTCCAAATCTTCAGCACGAACTGGAACGGCCACCGCTCTGCCCAGCTGGGGTGTTCTCGAAAGTGCTCCAACCCTGTTGGCAATACGAACCGCATGACAGGCCTTCGTTCGAAGCGCTACATCTTCAGCTGCAGATGCTCATTCACACCCAGACGACATAGGCATCACCGTGATGTTCCCATATATTTTCCCTCAGGGACTCACTGCAATACGGTTACTAAAGTGGTCCACTTATTGGCCCACTCTTTTCCTCTTTCTTCTTACATATCGTGAACACTGGTCTTGCTTATGCATGAAATGTCAGTTGATCTTCATATTTGTTTTAATCGCTGATTTTTGTGGACTTCCGCTCACTCGATATTGTACATATACAGATGTTTTCCATTGCACAACATAAAGTTATATAAAATTGAGACTTTTTGAAGACAGTTTGGAAACCTTCAAGGCAATGCAGCTATTCGCCTGCTATTTAGCGCATTCATCTTGCAACCTGGCTTGACTTTTTGCCATTCAAGACCCAAGTGAAATTGCAAATACGCAATAACATCAGTCATTCGGACTCTGTAGTCTATAAGAGTGATATTATCCATTGCTGATGACTCTGAGGAAGGCCTTCCCTCCCCTTCCATCCCGGGAATGAATCGCGAAGTCCTTGCAAGCCACTTACATAAATTGTAAAATTGTGCAAGTGAAAATTTTAGAATTTTATATTAGCTCTGCAAAATTTCGGGGTCCCGTAAGTTCCGTTCGCCCCTAATTTCAAATGCAATAAGTCATACAATTCTTGGTTCCAAATAAGTTTCGGGATAGCATTTGATAGAGCAAGGCAAGCTCTACGAGAAAGTGTTTACGCTTTTGCGTCAGCTTTGATTCTTCTCGAGTTTGATGCAGAAATTCGAGAAGTTCTGATTGTCCGAAAAATAAGAATCAACATCTTTGTTCAGTAATTGTACACTTCTCACTCTCTCAGGCACATACACCACATCGAACATTCATATATGCCATTGCCGTATTTTTTTTTTCTTGTCTACGAATCGAAAAACGAAAACTTTCATACTTTTGCCAGAGTGATGCTGAGTTGTTCTCACACAAAGCTGTAAAAGTACAGACATAAATGTTTAGTTTTCCACAAGCTTTAATTCTCTAGCAGTATCGAATTTTCAACGGAATAATTTTAGTAATTTGAGATTGATTCCCTTACTTAATCATAGAAACTCGAAGTATAGTAACAAAGATCATTTCCGGACCCAATTAACTTTATGACATAAATCCTAGTTGCTGCAATTATTGCGTTATAATGCAGTTCACTACGTAAAGTTGTCAAAGAACTCGTTGCTATGAGAGTTGACCTCAAAAATCTGTGCTTCTTCTTGTAGGACGTCATCACATTACTTTTCGTCACTAGGAATTTTTAGGAAAGTTCTAGATTCTTCACTGAAACTTAGTTAAAGCGTTTTTGTTGCATTCAAATTAAGCTTGACGGTTTTAAATGATTACCGAGCAAAGAATTTGCAAAATTATGAAATCTTTAGGTTGGCGAGTAGTTTCTATTACTTCTTCAGATCTTGTTGTATTTTGGTCAGAAAAAACTTGAATATCATTCGAAGCTTTGGTAGAAAGCTCTGTACCCGCACGTGAAGAATTTTCCGGAAATCTTCAAGTCTTTTGAATAGTTTTTCACTTCTCGTTTTCGAGCATTAGAGGCGTTGCTGACTTCAAGAGAGAGAGAGATGCTGCCGAGCTGCATTCTAAACGGCTATAGATGAAATGCACAAGGAGAGGCAAAGTTATAAGTGCAAGAATGTGGGGAAATTTTGTGTAAATTTCCAAAATGCACTTGTTCCAATTCCTTTTTTATGCTTGAATAAGTCTGTTTTACCCCACCAAGCTTCTTTTCGACTCCCAGTAATCAAAGAAGTGAGACTTTTACAATGCGCAAGGTGTTTCCCAACAGGAACTCAACAACAGTTGTGCTTTTGCTTTTATCCACCGACCGGTCAGTAGGGAAGTGCCGGTGGAACCTATCATAAAGGTGACAGCTTTCCCCTACCCATCCGACCTAGATATGATAGATCTACTGAATGAGGTTGCCGTCGTTTAGAAGAATCCCACCTTTAGCGGTAGGTATCGGGACCAGTTCTCACGGAGTCAAAGAACTGGTAGAAGAACAACAGATTTTGTGCGACCATATCGAGTATATGTGTACGATACTAGTTTCTTTCTACATGAATACTCCACCCAAACTATACAGGTACCGGGTTGTACAAAAGCTATATTACCCTATTTTTCTTTCTGTTTTTAGCGGTGATGTTTTCTTTTCGAGTAAACTAGGCATCGTTTAGAAAATCATAGGATAATTGCAGCAATCTGCGATAATCTACGAACAAAATCTATGAGCAAAAACATATAATTTCGCTCAGGCTAGACCCAACTTATCAAAAGAAGACCAATTAGGTCCTTTGATACGTGCCAAATCAGTAATTCCAAATTGCTGAGCTTTCCTGTCGATCAAACTAAGCTCTCGAAAAACATGCAATGAAGCTATTTTGTCAAAGGCCACAGATGCCCTGAAGAAGCGATTTATTGCATTAACAGGTATCGATTTAGTAGCGGTTCTATTAGTGCAATAAAAAAAATAATGTGCACTGACCGCCCTATTCTTGTTATTTGGTCTGTCCTAATTACCTACTACTGTATCTGTGATTAACAGTCTGATCAAGTGTTCAGCGTTCTATTATACTGGGTTGAAAAATTACCGTATTCCCTGATCCTGTAGAAGGACTCGCAATAGCTTTCCGTTGAATCCATGTTAACGTCTAAAAAAGATGAGAAAAATAAATTATGGGTTGACGAATTCGGTGATGGAGTTAAGAGTTACTCACTAATTTAGTCAAAAAAACTTTTGAAATTCCAATCAAATTCCAATCAGTTTCGTGGTGTTATCTGTGTTTATGCATATAGATTTAGATTTTTTTGCAAATATTTCGTACTTTTTGTTGTCAAGATTACTTTGTACTGGACTGAGTATGCTTCAGCCTTTCAATGTTTTTTTCTAGACTTGTATGAGCTGAGGGAGATCAACTAAGGGGTTTTCTCTTACCTCTCACAAACCGTGACCCAAAGTAGGCCAATCATTGCAAATACGATGGTTGATTTATTCTGCTTCCAACACCCACCTCACCACTCACTGCCACACATTAATTCGGTCGCTGTAGCACCTCATTCATCTGTGTCAGTGGCAGAGAAAACTTTGTGAGGATTTACGGCCACTTAGCCAGGTGTCTCCGTTCGTCACCTCAGCCATATAATAGTCGTCAGGAGATATGACACCGTAAGCAACATCTAACCTGGTTGAAACAGAAAGGGCAGCGGAATTCGCAGGGAGTCCTTGAGGTGCACAATGGTGTGTGAGCATTGCGCAACTGGCGGCGCCTCTGCTCCTGAATCAGATCCTTACGCTGTGTGGGCATTCTTTAGAAGAGTCTCGTGTGGGATACGACAATCTAAGAAGTTGGATTGTTTAGACACAAAACTGTCACGGTAAGATAATTCAATGATTCCTGCCCAATATCGTAACCCGCCAGCTTTTTTGGTAATTATACTGGGTCTTTCAGCCTGTGTGAGTGTTCAAATACCCAATTTGTGACCCTAATGCAAAACGACATATTTGGAAAATAAATACATCTCACCAGAATTCAAGCGATTTTGTCGCCACTGTATCGCTCCAGAATGAAGAGAAATGAAAATAATATCTTACAACTCGACAGAAAAGTATTGAAAGGTTATATTAAATCTGCATCTAATCCCTCTTTTTTATTCATATCTTTGAATTGTAAGAACTCTGAATCCTCCTGAGATTTTTTATTAAGTGAGAAGGGCTCAGTAGCTAACAATATTTCATTTTAAATAAATTTACGCCCTCCTTTTGCCAAACAAATTTTTTATCAATTGGATTGACTGAAGATGGATTTCATAGTAAAAATTGTTAGCACATTCTAGTAAAACAAGTTTGCAAGAGAATATTGAGAAATGGAGATGTGAAAAAAGATGTTACGCCAACGTCTTGCCGGCGCGAATTAAAAAGTTGGGACAATCATATATGCTGCTAAAGTAAAGACGAATTCCAAAGGTTGAGTTTATGTGCTACCAATATACTGTAATTTGGGAGCGATGTTTTAGAGAGTTCCGAGTATAACTGTTTTCCAGCCTAAGTTAATTCTAATGTAAACCATCTGGCTCCAAAGAGAGAACGGACTTTACGTAAGGTGTGAAGCAATTTTGGCTTCTCGATTTTCGAGAAAAATTTTGAGGGGATACCATCCAGACATTTGTGCAGATCATTTTTGGTGCAATCCACCAATCATTATAAATTTATTTCAGTAAATCTTGGTGATCTATAACGCCAAGAGGTTTAATGAGTGCACAAACAATGGCAGCTCACATGTGTTCTCTTTTTCCTCCGAAAGACCAATTATCGCCCCGAGGCCAATAAACCTAAGAAAACAAGAAAAACTCATTACACATAAAGTTCTTCTCGGCCTCGTCTAACCCAATGTCTGACACCCCTTGGTACTTGTCGTCGTATCGCTTTTCTCGCAAGTCATATCCACTTGTCGCCGTGCTCATAAAATCAGATGGCAATTTGGTTTGATGTGGTTGCTCTCGTATCGTCGCGATTGGAGCGCAAAAACTTCACCAAACTGGCGGATTTACTACGAATGGAGGGGTCGTAATGGATGAATTCGTTGAATTCTAATCGTAGAGAAATTCAAAACAAGAGCAACAGAATCGCAATGCAATCGCTTCGAAACAATCCGATCAGTGCGTTGATGGGATGAAAGCGGCCGCTGGTGGCCACCGACACTACGACCTTTGCATAGGGCTGCCGAAAGCATGACTTTGTTGGCTGAGCACACATCGAGCGGTGCCCGGAAACGCTGCGTGAAAATGAGATCACAGGAAGAGGTATCCATGTGCAGTGGGCCGTAACCAAAGACTGCGGTAGTAAGGTTGGATAGACTTTGATCGGGATTCAGCAGCTTACAATGTCAATCCCGCTACTCAAAACCATTACTACCTTATGTTGGAGATGTCGACCAGCGGCATATTGAACGTCTAAGGTTTTCTAGAATTTGTTAGGAACTTTTTGCACTTGAAATACCGTCATCGCTGACTTATCAGATTATGCCTTCTTCACTGTATGCAAATTTACGTGTTTAACCCATAATCATGTCATTACTTGCCATACATGTAGAGTCGCTCAAGAAGAAAAATTATTAGTGATCTACACAAAAAATTTGTATAATTATCATCGAAATGCTACATTCACCTACAAGCTATGACGATATTCAAGAATTTGGAAGAAACGCTGGGAGCTCGGTATGCCCA